AGTTCGTATCTGGCACGGCAGTGGAAGATCAGCCGAGCTATATCATAGTCAACTGTCAATCACGCAGGTACGCTGTTGTCACCCATTGCGAAGTGGCACTAGCTGTTGACATCCGGAAGTCATGGAGGCACAACGCGGCAGGGGTCCGATGGAAGACACACTGCTGGCGAGCCCCGGAAGGTCGAAACACCAGAGTTGCCAAAGCCTGTGGACTGAGGTTGGAACATGGTGAATGCTCTGAGTTAGGGCCTGAACAAGCAGAAACATAAGGTTCAAGACAGGAAGCTTGAGGGTGACAGTCAACTGTTTTTGCACATATAAGTCCGGACGACTGTGATTAATTGCCACAGCCTCCGCGAGCTGGAGTATGTTGTCGTTTTCAATAGTGTAAATGGCAGTAAACGCCAAGTTCGTCAATTTGATGTCCCATTCCAAATAGACCTTTGGCAATCGATGAGGCCGGCAATGCGGATCTTGACTTCTGTCCCTGCGATCGTTTTGCCACAATTGTAGCAACCCATTTGGGATGTGCTCACCGCTCCGCCTGCTCAGGTCAGCAGTTGCTTCACATCCTGAATGTGATCAATAGTGGTGGGCTAATCGATCATCGCGGTTACAAATGTGCATAAAACGTATACTACTTATAAATAGATAGTAGGAAAGTTATACCGAGGAATCAGGAATTCACAGGATCAACTACATCGGTGAATTAAATCACTAAGTACATTACTTGTAACGGTATATTTGGTCTCTACATATGATCACCAGGTTCCAGGTTCCTCTCTACCTGGCTGCTGATTCGCTGAATATACCGCCAATTGTAACGTCACAATATACCCATAGTTTCGCATCACGTGGAGGCCCCGTGCAAGTCTCGCTATGCTCTGCTGGGGCGCTTTGCTGACCGAACAGGTTCGCATGAGCGGCGCTAGGCCTGTGGTGATGGTTCGTGGAACAAACGACTGACTAACCGGACCCAAATAAGTTACCACAATCCAACAATCGATATTGATTGGCAAGGTTGATGCCACTGGTACGTACGTTCCCAAAGCGACCGATACATTTAGCACATGCAACTATTGTTTCCAACCCTCACTTTTTTAGTGTTCCCTGAATTATGTTCGTGTTTGTGCGTTTTGATTTTCTTGCCTGTAAATCCACCTATTGGACACCGGCAACGTGTGATTGCAACAGTGTACCGATTGGTGTCGCCTTTCTGTTGTTGCTATGCTTGTTTTCAGTGAATCTTAACCCCCTATGCGCGCACTCGAGCAAACGTGTGCGATGTGTACTACAGGAGAGTGATAGTTTGTAAACATCCAACTACTTATTTCGGCATACGCATTAAACTGTTCTCGGTGAATTCGTGGTATAACAGCTCTTCGACATATTCTGGTGTCTGCCTTGCAAACGGAATTCAATTGCTAGGCCTTTCCAAGTGACGTTGCAATTGGCATCTAAAATGACCATTATGTTATCGGTTGACTTACGCTCTCAGTTGCGCTATATATATATATATATATATATATATATATATATATATATATATATATATATATATATATATATATATATATATATATATATATATATATATATCCGAGTGAGTATTCATGCGCCACTTACCAAGGTTCTAACAATGGAGGGTTATTAGCTCCTCTGTTTCTAACAAACCCGTATATGTGCTTATTTTAACCACCCTGTTTATTGGAGGTGTAAAGCACCCAAATTTACTGTTGGATCTCATGAATAGCACTTTTTGTGATCATAGGTCACGTGGTATTTCGATGGATGATATCGAAATTATGTCCACATTTTCGCTTCGCCCCAATGATTAACGAGGTAATTTGAAGAAGACTAGCCCCCTCACTAGGCTTAACCTCTGGGAACATGTACGGCTTCTGTTTGGTCATCTGGCCAGGACCTGATTAGTTAAACAAAATTTTAAATCATTTCTTCTACTCATCATTTTTGTGATTCTATAATGGGATGTTGTGCGGTGCCTAATTCAAACCCATTTGGTTTAAGTTCAGCATTACATACAATCCAGAATACACTGTCCGCATGACATTTCACATGTATACTCTTACCAGTTTGAAAGGAATTTGCGAAATAGCTGATAGTGATTTCTTGATCAATTAATGACCTGGGAGTTGGCCCTGATCACGTCTGAGTAATCAGTGGGGTGAACCTAACTCATACTTCGCCAGTTGTTGTATTATGTCCTGCAACGAAAAACAGCGAGGTCGATTACGTGAATATACCACCGCTACTAATTAAGTCAATAAGTGACTAAACGAATAGAGTTTATTTTGGGACTTGCCAGATGTACAGGCTTTGGTATGATAAAAAAGTACTATTGTTTTACAACAGCGATCATACATATGCGCAGTGGCTTTCAATAGAATTGCTATAAGTTAGCTAAAGCGGTTTGCAGGGCGTGTCAAAACTGACAGTCAACTTGCGGTATTGATGTCGGTCTCAGAGGCCAACCGAAGACGCTCCCAGTTTTGTTAGTTCTCGAGTGCGGTGGATTTGCACCGAAAAATTTTTGTCGCCTTCTTGGGTCAGCGGGTTGCAATGGCATATGCAGCTCCGGCAATTCGGATTGTTTAAGCGAGTGCAAATTATCTGCCTGTACTCTTTGGTTGGAGATAATCGGTACAAGAGAATCTCTCAGTTTCTACGTATTCATATCTGCTGCGGTTAGCCAAATGACTTAGGTGCAGCGCTATTTTTCTAACATTAAAGGCAGAGTAGAATAACCGTTTAAACTTAAGGCCTAGTTGTGATGATAGCAGAGTCCTAATTATGAAGTAAATGTTTGTAACACTTGATTTCTTGGTAAAGCAACGATGGTGATCACCTAGTTTCCTAAGCGCAAGCTTATGATACATTAACTGCGCTTCATTTGTTATCAGAGTGGCAATTTCACAAAGTATGTGGCAGCACCGATTCCGTCGATAGCGACCGTGCACATCAAAGTTACTGACTGCACGGAGTAGTTGGCCTGAGTCAGCTGACGTTGGAGAAGACGATGATGTGATCTACTTGGATTTTTCGAAGGCATTCGACTGTCTAGATCATCAGATTGTCCTTTGCAAGCTCCGGTATTGCGGGATTGATGACCCACTTTTGAGCTAGATCGCCAACTTTCTCATTCAAATGCAGTTAGTGGTGAAATTTCGGAGCTCTTTATCTGACCCATACAGGTCGAGTATGGTGTGCCGCAAAGCTCAATTTTAGGTCCACAACTGTTTTGGTTTATTAATGACCTCGAAAAGACAATAGTATCAAATGTTCTATTGTTTACCCATAACATAAAGATTTGGTGCAAGCTTTAGGTGAATGCCGACCATCATCTGCTCCAGAGGGACCTAGACAAGGCATATATGTGGTCGATCTTAAATTTACTACAATTCAGCGCGAGTAATTGTCAGGTACTTTCCACACGTCACCAGAACAGCTACTCATACAGGCTCGGGACGCATGTACTGCAACAGTCATCCATCGAACGTGGTCTGTGTGTGCTGGTTCAAGGTGACTTGGGTTGCTCCAGGCACTTAGAAAAGGCCTTGAAGTCTGGAAACCAAGACGTCAGACTGCTGCGACGGGCCTCCGGGCATCTCTATTTTTCACCAAACGCTCTGTGCGTAGGTTCCTCCCGATGTCGAATAGCAATTCAAGCCTAGCATTCACGGCTGAAATACGACCTTAATGCACCGGAGCAGCACCAAGGTCCGACATCCAAGTACGTCATCAGAATGCGCAATCTCTCATACGAACAGAGGCTGAAACGATTGGGTGTATTCAGCGGACGATATCGCAGATTACGAGGCGTCCTGATCATGGCTGACTTGCTTTGGCACGATCCACATCATGTGTGCCGCTGCTTACTGCAACTCAGCAGCAATACAAACCTGAGGGGCACTCATTGAAACTCGCATAACAGCATGGCTGTCTGGCATGCCGCAGAAATTTCTTTTTCATTCGTATACGTCACCCCTGGAATGCTCGCCCTGAATCGGTCGTCTCTGGATCGACATTAACAATATTTAAAAACGTTTGGAAGACGCACTCATCCACTTACACTTTGTTATTTAGCGCTACGTCTCCATTCTACTATTGGATTTATTTGCTGTTACCTGTGGGTGCTGTGAAACTATGCGGATCGCAGGGCTACAGAGGAACAAACGAGAAGTCATTCTTTTCATACTTAAGTTACCAACTGTATTCTTAGTAATTTTCGACAACCCCTTCAAACTGCGCAAAGGGGCTTGTGAAGCAGTGCTTCTTAACCGGTATAAATTCATAACTTCCTTGTTTTCCCATCCGACACGGTGATCAACGAAATAATTGCATGACAGAATGCAGTTAAAAAATCAGGAACTTGACGACTCAAGGGACTGGATCAAAGTGCTTAACCTATAGAGGTGGTCAACATGCATACGTTCTACGCCAAAAGTTGGCATTAACTTACTTTCCCGTTTTGAGTAGTATAGGATGAAAGTTTTTTCACCTAAACCCGTTTCGAACACACACATGGTTAACATATAGAGGTGGTCAACCTACAGAGGTCTGGGTCCTTAAGATTTGCATGATGAACGTACATCCATTGGAAACTATCGGTCAACTTAGTGGAGTGGCCAGAATCTAGACGTGGTCAACCTCGAAGGTTTTACTGTAGTTTGATTGGGTACCTTCATCTCACTGAATTACGGAAATAGCTGGTGACGATAGTCGTCGGTTGGAGACCACCTATGCATGAGAAGCATGGTGCAGTCTAGAATTGTTTTTATGGGTATGGCGGGACGCAGTGACGTCCACGGGTGGTGGGATGGATAAACAGCTCATTGTATTGATTTGCCGAATGACTCACCCCACTGCTGCTGCTGCTGCTGCTTGGAATGCGTTCGGTCAACCCGCGCAATGTAGTGCATTTCCACTATTGTCTCGCAATTTAACTCTTCCCCCGAGTTTCACTTTTTCACACCTTTCAGGCTGAGCAGTCGGGCCGAAAGTCTGAAGCGAGATGTTGGGGACGCGGGGCACTTGCAAGCAAATGCAACAACCAAAATCAGTGAGGCAGCCTCTGAGGTGAAGAAGTCCAAGCTGCTATTTATTACGACGAAGCAAAGGTAAATTATCCTCTCCCAGATACTCATAATGAATTTCATCTGTTTTGAATTGGTATCCTGTATGTGTTGATATGGTTAGCACTCATCAAACAGATTTCCTCTTGGTGTTTGCGTACCTTCTCAATGACGAATACGTCCATCGTAAGCCGCGGTCGCGCGCGCCTCCCGTCTCAGCCATTGTGTGCTAGCGGTGTCGCATGCGAGAGCAAGATAAATGAACGGGGTCTACTGGATACCCACGGTTTTAGCCGCATGATTAACCTGAGTCCCAAATAGGAAAACCATAAGACGTAAATTGTGATATAGTCCAGTCGTTTCGTACATCCTCATGAAAACGCACTGACTGAATTTTGGGTGTTAAAACCGATGAATTGATCCGTGATCGGTAGCACAGCTACCATGCAGTATCAGTTGAATGAGAAAGTCGAACTGCTTCAGTAACCGCAAAGTATTTACGGAGCGCTTGTTACCAAGGCGAAGCCATGCCCTATTCAGCCTCTTTAGGCAGAGTCAAAAATCTCACTGGCTCTGGTAACTGGATGCCATTGTTATCGATCGAGAATGACCACATGGCTATGGGCAGGATTAAGCAACTTTGACCGCGAGCCTACTGTGGTAGCACGAAGCTCACTGGTTAGTTAGCAATCAGTCTCAGAAGACCATGTGTAGCAGAATATTGTTGACCATGAGTTTTTGCTTGATGAAGAAGAAGAAGAAGCACGAAATGACTAATCCCGAGTCCGCATGAAGACCACAGGATCTACCATGATAATTCTCATACAATAATATCATTTATTACTGTTACACAATAGTAGATGTCGCAGATAAAGTCAGGAGTGACGGACAGAATGCACCGGATTAGCCACGCTACCATCAATTCGCCAAAAAAAGGGAGATCGTTCAAAAACAATATTTCCCCTTCCGCTCTGACCGACAACGAATGTGTATCTTTCACAATACGAGCATAGTTTCCGTCTACTGTGAACTTAAATTAGCTTATATTTCGGTCCAGAACGAGAGTTTGAGATTCGTGGTGCACTTCGCAACACTCCAGCGTCTAGGTTACAGTGAAACAGGTGGACTGTCTATATCGCCCTGAATATATAAAGAAGAGCGAATCTCCATCTATACACCGTAACGGCGCTTCGTTGCCACGCGATCACCACCAGTCGCATGTGGGCTGCTTACACCGCGAAGAGGCCCGCCCCTAGGCGGCCTCGAACCGGTGACCAAATGGTTGCAAACCAGGCACTCAGACCACTAGGCCGATCCCGCACTGCACTAGAAAGAATCAGTAAAACTGTCCTGAGTTGCACACTAAATATACTGGTATGTGTATTTATTCTTTCACTGAGTAGGAATTTCAAACGAACTCATTAAATGAGCTGATTTCACTCCGGCACCTACTGACCCAGTTCTGCTAAAGCTCATCACACAGGTGGTACTGCGTGAAGCGGAATTAATTCGGCCTATGCAGTACACCGACTTTTGTCTATCCAGAGATAATGTGCAGGAGGCTGGGGCAAGTCTGACATCGGTCTGCCATGAGCAGCTCTAGGTAGTGAGTGAATCGGGCCACATACTACCTTGACTAACAGGACCACTTTCGTCTCAGGAAACCGAGCTATGTCCCTCGTTCTGAAACCCATACACCCACCTCAGGTGCTGATCGCTCAGAGACCACATTATAAGCACAGTATAAAGATGGATATTTTAATAGGGCCACTTACATGCACGCTTTACGTCCTGCGTTTGTTGCCCATGAAATAGAGGCGTGAAAACGCCAAACCCTAGTTTGCGAAGGTAGGATGCGGTGCCCCTACAACTGGTTGATCTATGGAATAATAGATCTATCACGGATATGACAGAAAGTCCTTGAATATTTTTGCAGGTAGGGATTGTGCCTAAGAAGCTAATGTATCGAGAAACAGTGACGCATGACGGTGGGCTGACCTTGATTTTCACATATGCACTAAAAGTTGGGTTACGTTGTCTCACATCTCAATGACTTGTTTTAGATCATGTAACGTTAACGTAGGTGCCGAGATGACAGAATGAGGAAGCAAGTTTCACTTCTAGGATTCTCGAATAGTGATAACGATTCGGCGGCATTCCAATCGGCTACACAGTTGAGCCAACTTCCAATGGTGGCCCATCAGTGAAGTGTTGTGGCTGTGTCTCAATAAGTATCGGCATGGGTGGTTAGGATGCTTGAGAATCTGCTACACTAATATGAGATAACCTCGTAGAAGAGGACACTGTTCACTGAAAATTCTAAACGGGTGAGAGGTGGAGCAAAACCTTACCATTTTTATTCCCTCTGCTGTGGATTCACAAGAGCAGCGAGCTCATGTTTTTGCCAAGGGTACAACACCCGGATGGTGTATTATACATGCGACCTCATCACGCAATCTCATGTATGTCTACTTTGTGTCTCACGTAAGTGACATTCAAGTTCTCTTTCAACTAACGCTTTGTACCTCGCGTCATAGGCCGAGCACCTTGTGTAAGCTAGTCCCGAGCTTGACACTAATGATGCGCCACTTTGGTTTGGATCAATCCCATTTTTACCAATGATAATTTTACCTCCCTGCTGCGTAACTCACTGAGCAGTCCGACAAGAAGACAGAGACTTATCGTTCCATTGGCATGTTAGTTTAAAGTATTTCGTAATTGCTTTATGGTCTGTTTACAAATCTTCATCTGTTGTCCGCTTGCAATGCGTCATTCCGAATGTATTTTTGCAGAGCTGAATCTATCACGAGTAAGGACAACGAGATAGCAAGAAGAGTTGAAGAGACAAATGAACGGTTGCAAAAGACGGGTAATCAGGTTTACCAAGTTAAAATTGGAATCTCGCAACTCCCAAATTTGACGAAAGGATTGCGCATATTGGGAGAAGTGACAACACAATGGGAAGACGCAGATAACAAGGTGAGTTCACTTTACGTAACCACATACAAATCGTCTGAGATTTTGTCCAACTGTTTTCAACACCACATACTTGGTCCATCCAGCCTCGTATTTCACGCATAGTGAATGTACAAATCCAGTGCCATGTGCCACTCCTCTTGATAGGATGCGAACCGTGGCTTATTTCAGAAAAGCTACCGCTTTTTTCTTCATTCGCACACGATCTTTAGGACATCGACACCAATCATTGCTCTACATGGATAGCGAGTTTATCATCAAATGCACCGATATCGCGCATGACAGTCACAATTCACCCCTGTTTGCTGGTAAACAAAATCTTTGTCCCAGTAACACAGTGACTGAATAGTCTTTAATTCAGATGCCAGTCATTACTTTCTATTCTCAGGTTGTTCTCCTCTAGATTTGTGAGTATTCGTCACTTATACCAGTTCGCACTGTACTTGAGCTGCGTGCAGGAAAGTATCCATCGAGTGGTCTCTATCGCTGTCTGTGATGTTCGGCCAAGGTGATCGTTTGGAGAGTTACCTCTGTCAGATTAGCAAATGGCTAGTCTCGCGCTCCCTCAGATTGAATGTTGGAGCTGAGGTTGCACCCACTGTTATAAAGATTGCCATCCTGCGGGCCGTGACCAAATCCATGCCGCCTTACGTAAGTATCTGAATGAGGACCGTAATCATTCCTTTTAATCAGTTTGAACGCTTCAACTACATCCCAGCCAGTGAACAGACATCGGCTTGCCAACAAAAACAACTTTATTCCACACCTGACACCGACCAGTATCACAAACGTTGTCCCATAAGTTGAATTTGGTGGGAGGATAGATAACCAACAAACTACAGTTAATCCTTCCCGGTTTTTTGTCTCTCATGCATCTCATTTCGCATTAGCGGCTTAACGAGGAAATTCACTACTAATCCTAACATGCTCTACAAGCACGTAACCAAGCTCCACAGAGTGCAGCGCGGAATCCAGTTCTATGTGCGGTAGATAGTTTGGTGCTCACTACACAAGATGCTGCGAATGTGCGCTTCTGCAACAGTGTACTGCCAATTTCCAAAGTGAATCGTCACCTCACTCGTTCTTGTCACAGCTCTCCCCTTAGGATTAGGCCAAGTATTATTTATTTCTCCAATGTGATGAAAAGACTACTGTCTCAGCGCGTGCACAGCTATCCTGGTATGAACAATATCAGATTGAAAGCAATAAAAACAGTCGCTATAAACCTTGCCAAGCTGTTGGCCCGGTTCTTCCAACGAAGCGTTGAGGAAGTACAGATTCCGACCATGTGGAAGCAGGAATAGTCACTCCGATTTTCAAGGGTGGGAATGGTGCAGAGCCTTCTAACTATCGTCCAAACACTCTCCTCCAGGTGTTATCCAAGAGTATGGAATGTATATTCGTAGAGGAGCTCATGGGATACCATGAGAGTAACAACGTTATAGCGTCAAGCCAGCATGAATTCCACCGAAATTACGCCTGGCCGTGTTTCCTGGCACAACATGTGATTCACCGGATTGTGGTTTAATGAAAGAGTGCTGGATAGATGCTGGAGCTGGAAATGTGGGTGCGTTGTGCAAGTTTTGCGCCCTGCGTACCTGCGTAACACAAGACTAGTGGCAGATTGCTAGGTGACTAATACTGTAGTGTGTGGGGTGTAAAGCATAAGCGCGTACGTTCATCGCGACGTTGTTCCCTGGTCCGTATTCGCTTCCCACTAAGCAAAAGGTGACTCACCGGTATTACTTCACTAGTTCCACTGTTTCACTTGATTATATTTATTCCTGGAGCTTGTGGGAGGTTGCGTAATTATAGGAAGGTTTCTCGAACACACCCAGTCACATTCTGATCTACCTAATGAGGGTCTGGTGGATCGAAGACGAGTGACAGAACCAACGCGAGTAAGTCATAGCCACCTACACGTGACCCACAGGCCATATGGCAGCTGACATCAAACTAGTTTTCGAAGACGAATTCCGACCTATCGCTGGCATAGAAGCTGAGGAGTTGGCATACCGAGTTTGTCTATCCTCTACTCACCAACCGGATTGTGGTGTAGCCCTCTTAGGAAGGATTGCCCAACGTGATTCCTGAAGCAGGGAATATGCAGGTTACTATCATTTCCTTGCTAACTTGCTTCTGAGTGCAACGATGTCCTTTATTCTTAAAAGTGAAGTTATTCTCTTTCAGTCTGCGGCACTGCAGAAACGCTCGAATAGCACTGCAGCCGAGTTGCAAAATACTATGGATAGATTTCGTCAGTTAAATGGTCAACTACGAGAAAGTTTGAAAAACCGGCTCATCCAGGCAAAGCAACTGGAACCCCAGTTCAAAGAGCTCCAGTCAATGTTGAATCGCATATTGAAATCACAAGAGTTAAGCTCACGGGCACTGATCACTGCCCAAGCAACCAGGGAACGAATAAGAGGTGAGTTTTGTCCCCCACTGCTGTTCATATTATCGATGATAAACAACTGTGCGGGAATCACCTTTTTCAGTTGTAACCGTTGGAGTCCTCCCTTCGGTCAACCTCGTTGCATACCTCTGTTGACCAGTCGTCTTTCTTCTACATGGCCTGTTCCAGTTAATTAAGTATCCGTAATGGGCAGTCATCAGTGTTGGGCTGAACCTCAACTAAACCCTATGAATTACACGGCAATGGGAAGCCTCTTATAACCTGAAACTATCATGTATGCTTTCTTTGACCAGAGTGATTTAACCCACTATAAGAGATTAGAAATATAACAGGAGGAACGGATGGGCATGGAAAATCGAGACCAGAAAAACACCCTACGAAAAGCTTGTAGTCATCGAGAATTCAGTGAAAGAAATGGGGGATTAACAGATACTTCAACGGCGGCGGCTTGTCAATCGGAATTGAGTGGTCGCATTTCCAGTGGTTTTGGCGAAAATGCGTCGTGCTGACGAGCACACGATGAAAATGCAGTATCTGTACAAGTACTAACTTTTTCACTCTAAAACGTTACTGATTTTGTAAAATTAGGACTAAAAGTAGTCAGTTTGAATAAATGCCTACCTCAGTCATTAGGCGGGTGCATCTAGATACCCGTGAGCAACTGGTATTTTATAAGCCTACATAACTCACCAATCCGAAATGGACCACGCATGATCTTTTTCAGACTGAATTTGCAGATAAACGTGTTAGCATTTATACACCCGATTAAACGAAGTTCATCTTGGGGTTACATGCATGAGAGCGTTTCAAAAGACAACGCACTGTTGAACAATCTGAAGTATGCGCATATGCTTTTTGTCGATGATGATCGTGTCTCTCCGTCCTCCTGGCTCCTTTCGAACACTCATCGGCTTTCCAAGTAACCCAACTGCGGATGACGCATGAGGCACCATCTGAGCGCAAGCATGGGTGCTTATGTCAAGAACATGCCAGACAGGCAATGCTACGTGAATTAATGTGTGGGTAAAGCAAAAACTCCCAAACTAATTACTACTAGTACTAAGCACCATAGATTGGACCATATTACGGTAGTTCACCAAGAATAACTGGCGGAAATGAACATGTACCCCTCAATCATTCTGTAGATAACTCCGTTAATACTTTCACTACAGGAAGCAAGAAATTTACTAGGGTTCTCTTTACAAATAATTCGTTAATCCTATCCATGAACTCTAGCTTGTTGGTGTATTAGAAGGATTGACACTCCAACTTGCTGCTCATCTGAAAGCCCTTCTGGTTATGGTGTTTTAGGTGCCTCTTAACCATCTTAGAGAGTACCAACGTAGATTTACTACTGGTTTACCAGGTTAGAACTTGGAGTAATATCTACCCACTCCAACTATACTTGAAGCGTAATAAAGGCAACGTGATTCAGTCTCTTCCTACTGAGATTACAAAATTTTATGGATCTAAGTGACGGAACGAAAACCTATCTTCCAAAAGGAATTCTGTTCGACTGTCAGATCCGACCCATAATAACCGAGAAGCTGTTAGAAAAGAAAACGATAAGCGTCCTGTACTTAGGGTTTCTAGTTAGACATCTACCAACTACAGCCAGATTGGGGAGACTCATTCATAGGTTGCGAAAATTGTATGTGTGGCTCTAGTTAGACACTATGATTGTAGACTCGGTAGTCCTTTGTCGACTTGAGCCCTTTGTTTTCCAGTACAATCCAGCAAATGCTGTTACTCTGTTGCTTATGATAGGATAGAAGACAAGCTTTGAGGTCGTCGTTTAGCCCAGTTAGCTAGATCAGTAAACCTTACTCGTATTTTCAAGTCAGAGGTGGGGTTTAGCACATGACCTTGCGTTTGAAAACCAGTCGTGGGGCAACTTGCAACAAGGGGACTAGAGTTGGGGTGTTTACATGAATTCAAAAAATATGAATCGAATAAGACCGTCTCGGTAGAATACCTGTGGATCGTACCAAATCAATTGAGAGCACTGTTATATTTCCTTAAACTGGGACTCGATTCATCTGGCGTAGCTTAATGTGTCCTCAGAGTAGAGCAACTAGCCGTCTTGCTTTCAACATCTCCTATCCAGTGGGTGATTAACGCAAAAATTGCAATTACCATAAACCACAGGAGAAAGCCCGAAGCCCAGAAGGATAAGTAATAGTGGAATCGACAGGCGCATCCGCACGGTACAAAGCATTGCTTCACTTTACTCTTAATGACAGAGTACAACAATCAGACTAGCGGAAGACTGTCGCTATATCTGACTTTACACTGGGTGACTTGAATCCAGGTTTTGTTGACCACCCACTTCAAACTTATTGAGGATTACGATTTGCATACTTAGTAGTCTGCCTTTCTGGGCTCTTCCACTGAAACAAACCTCACCGACCTGTTGCAGCACTCGACTCAGTAAACTTAACATATGCAGGTAGTAATGGAATCTTGCACTCCCTCATTGTTAGATGTGAAATGTCTTTAAAAGTGAAGAATATTTCTTGTATTCATTTTTGAGAGAGGCTAGCTAGCAATTCGTGCGGTCCCACATAAGCAATCTAGATTCCCATCACCTTGTTGATCCTAAATTCATTATTCTCCACACTTTGTTTCCAGATGTCTAACAGATTTTCTTGAAAGAGTGCTGGTTTTATCTGGTGGTGGGTATACAACTGAACTCCACAACTCGACATTCGGCCCGGCACCATCACCTCTAGCAACCGACCAATACAACGAAACTCACTTCAAACAAATTTCTGACGCTCTGGGCACCGCAGAGGATAATCAACGGTGCCCTATCGGCTGCATCGGGCAGGGTGGATAGGGGTTTGGATGTTACTGCTCAAGCCTTCCCGTCTTCTTCTTCTCCCTCTTGCACTTTTTCACCCTTATCGTCCCGTTGCAGCTTCACTTTTATACCCCCTGTTTTCAACCCCCAATTCTCGACCCTCCCCCACCTGGCTTCAATAGTCGCTTGTCTTTTAGTTTCAACTCACATGTGAACGCGGAGCGTCATTCCTGCCCTGTCAGCAGGCCCATGTCCAAGCAAGCGCACAAGCCCAGTTCATCGACTTCCATTTGGAACCCTCGATCATCCTTCAGATTAGCATGCCTCGATGTTCGCACATTACTACAGATCGGTCAACAGGCAGCACTTGCCCGAACGTTAGAGACCATCCCGATCGACATCTGCTGCTTATCGGAGACCCGCCTGCAAGACTCGAGCTCTGTACTCACTCTGCGATCCTCTTCAGGTGACACTAGCAGCACTTTCTCATTGCGCCTATCCGGTGACGATGCAGCTTCGAGCACCGGCCAAGCCGGTGTTAGTATTGCCCTGAGTCCCCGGGCTGAAGCTACTCTGGTTGATTGGTTTCCAATCAGTAGCCGGATATGTTCGGTCCGATTGGCTGGCTCGTTCAAAGCTTCGAAGTCGCGTGTGACTAACAGGTGTCCATTCGTTATCGCTGCGTATGCACCGACAAACTGTAGCGATGACTCGGTAAAGGACGACTTCTATCGTCAACTGAACGAGCTCCTTAGCCACAGAAGAAGCTCGGACACTGTTGTGAGGGCTGGGGATCTGAACGCTCAAGTTAGAAAATTATCCCCATATGAGCTGTATCTGGGCTGCCAACATGGTGTAGGCTCCCGTAATGATAACGGTGAGCGGTTACTTCATTTGTGTGAGGATGCTCGCTTATTTCTTGCGAGCACTAATTTTCGACACAGCATCCGCCGCAGGGTGACTTGGCGCGCACCAGCCTCGAAACAGCTATGGACGCAAATCGATCACATTGCCATAAGTTACGATGGAGAGGCTGCGTCCAGAACCGTCGCTCGATTTGGAGCACAGGTGTGGACACGGACCATGCACTTGTATGTGCTGACCTGCGGATGCGCTTTGGCGGACGCCCACGACGACGTTGTGAGCGCATTGACACCAGCCAACTGGCGAAGCCAGCTGTTCTGAATGCCTATCGAAGTACGCTGTCATGCGAATTGGATAAACACTCACTGGATGGAATCGGAGCTCACTGGTCTCATATTCACCAGACCTTACTAGCAGCAGGCAAATCCTCATGTGGTATGTCTAATCACCAACATGGACATTGAGTCTCTTCACAGTCTCTGGAACTTATAGATGCTCGCCGGCATATTCCGGCTAGAGGCGAACACAATGAAACTCGCAAAGAGCTCCGGGCAAAACTCCGTGCTAGCCTGAAGAGAGACCGCGAATCCTGGTGGTCTCATCGTGCATCAGAGATGGAAATGGCCGCTGCCCTTGGTAACCATCGTAAGTTTTCCGTCTGATATGGGAAACGGGCAGCAGGATGCCTGGTGTTAGTGAAACTATACGTGACGAGAGTGGACAACCTATCCATAACTTATCAAAACGATTAGAACATTGGGCTGAGCACCTTGGAAAGCAATTTAATCGGTTGGAATTGTTAGATTACTCGCCGGCCAGTGATCGCCCTGTTCCCTGAGCTGTCCCTTTGGATCCACGTTCTCGCTCAGAAGTCGAACGTGAGATCGCACCGTTGAAGCCTAACAAAGCCGCGGGACCGGATGATCTTCCTCCATCCCTTTTCAAATACGGGGGACCTGCTCTTATGGATGATTTACACGAGTTACTAATCAAACTGTGGGAGCAGGAAACTGTCCCAACCGATTGGAGCCGCTCCGTCATAGTCCCAATTTTTAAGGGAGGCTCACGATCGGAATGCGGCAGCCATAGAGGAATCAGTCTGAACTCCATCGCCTCCAAATTGCTTGCCTCTGTCATCCTTCACAGACTGACTGGCATTCGTGAAAGCCAGATTCGTGAAGAGCAAGCGGGATTTCGTCGAGGTCGTGGCTGCATTGACCACATCCTCACCTTGCGTCAGTTGTTGGAGCACCGTCACATATATTGGCGGCCCACCGTAGTCGTGTTCCTCGATGTCAAAGGTGCATTCGATTCGGTGGATAGACATGCACTTTGGGACTGTCTA